ACGTTCTATATATATACGTTCTATATATATATAGAAACGTTGCCTAGATACTTTGAATCTTACGCGGGAGAAAACCCGAATAACCAAAGATCCACATACAAATACCCGCGAGAACCTCAGAAAACATATATATATATATATATATATATATATATATATATAAAACACAGACTTTTTTCCACCTTTTTAAATTAAAAAGGCCCAATAATGTAGTCTTCTCTTGCAGGCAATTTTATCTTCAATCCCTTTTTACTGAAAGGGAATTCCATTGAGCTCTGAAGCCAATATTTTTCAATGGTCTTACAATTTAAGCTTATATTCTCTAATTATCACAATGTCTCAGTGGTTCTTGTTCACATTCTCAAATGCAATTACCAAGATATTTTAAACAGGAAACACACACCTCAATTTCTTATTGTTCCACATGCATACATCTAGAGTCTTTTTCCAACAGTACACAATTATTATCTAGTATCGATGTGGGTAATTTTATACTGTTAGAAAAAGACTTCATTTTTGTAATTTTACAAAACACCTGGTGAAGATAGCTAAATCTATATCTTTCTGCCTGATTTTGACTTTTTGAAGTTTGTCTTTCATGTTTACACTCTTTGTAGCCCTGTTACATGACATTTTATGTGGACCATATAAATGGATAACAGGCAGTTGCCTTTTGGGAAATTAGTATTATATATCATAGGTATTATCTATCTCTCCTCCATATACTAAAATAATAATTGTTGTTCAAGAGTTTAACCTAGGCCAGTACAATATATCTTTTCTCTAGGAACATAAATGCTCTCATGGAAAGTGAAGAGATAAGGTCTTTTGGAGTAGATGCTAAATAGCCATAGTTGCAACAAAAATTAGCTTCTAGAATAATAGTTTATGTAATAGTATCTAATTCCCAAATGATGTTTTTCTATTTTTTTCACTAGCAGAAAAAGAATCACAACAGAAAACCACTCTATCTAGCATTTTTTTTTAAACAAGTTTTATTTTCAAGACAAACAATACATAAATACACATAAACACAAAACATAAATGCATAAAAAAATCTCTTCTGAAAGTTGCTTAGTCCCGGGTTAAAACTCTTGGTACAGACACAAGTTCAGTTTCATATTCATTTTACATAGCATTTCATATCTTATTAACATTTTCAATTTTCTATATAACTTCTCCTCTCCTTTAAATTTTCTCAATTTTTTTTCCTCCTCTCAATTCATATCCTAATATTTATTATTCTTTGTCTGTTCTATTCCAGCCAATCATTTATTTTTCTTCTTTAAAAAAAAGAAGAAATACTTCTCCTGTACACTATATGGAGTATGATGCCTTTATCTTTTTCCCTTATCTTTATAGTACTTAATATAAAATACATAACATACATTGGGATTCTGTCTGGTACATTCTAAAATTATACTATATTATCAAAAATAATACAAATCTATTCATTAGTATTGATATTCATTCATATCTTAGACGTTTAACTCATTACTTTTCAATTAAATCACATGCTTTTATCAGAGCCCTATTTTCCATAATTATCCCCCCCCACCCACATCACATATTATAGCTCAATATTTCGTTGAAATGTTCCTCCTTCTTCTACTTCAAATCTCATTTCACAAAAGATTTTGCTAGTATACCATGTTCTAATCATTAATTTTAACAATCATTTATATCTTAAACATTTTATCCATTTCAATTGAATATCATGCCTTTGTGGGAACACTTATGCTTTCCACGATTATTACCCCCCACATCACAATCTTGAATCATATTTCATTACAGTACTCTCTTTTTCTTAACAACAATTTCACTTATTTATGTTAGATATTTTATCACATTTTAAGCTACATATTATTTCTAATTTTCTATAATTACTTCTAAATACAGATATAAAAATGCAATCTTATGTACCTTTCTAGAATCCCGTTAACAATATCTATCCATTATCTCTGAAAAACTTTTGCTTCTTAATATCTTGCTCCCCACCATTAGAGCTTCTCATCCCTTCCTTTCTCCCTTGCTTCTTCTTCTCCTTGTCCTCTTTAACCCCTTGTCTCTCCACCTCCCTTTTATTCTAGCATTTTTAAGATCCCAGAATTGCCAAGAACAACAATTGATAAAAATTAATTATGTTTACATAAAATTGCAGGAAACTGTAATTTGCATATATTTTCAATTTTATATAAGTGAACTATTTCCATAATAGTAGTGGGTGGTCTCTTTGTCTGGCCATGGTGTACCAGCTATTATCTTATGACTGAGTTGGCTGTGCTGTTTCTTTGCTTGGTTTTATTTAAGTTATAAATCCTAAATGAAAACCATACTTTGTATCAGATTTGATAATCTCATACTTTTAATTTGAATCTGAGTGATACTTGCTAAAGTCCCACACTGTCTACCATTATTTGTATGTGATTGCTGTCATTTGCTGCTTTTCTGAACAGCTTTGTATTAATCAAATGTTTAAACTGCCATGTTCTCTAG